CTAGATTAGTGGATAACTCAGCAAAACTTAGCCTAGAAATATCACAAGTGCACAATAATTTTATAAAATCTGAACATTTAGTGAAAAAAACATTCCTTAGTGGGGAACAAATAAGAGACAATAAGTGTAGCACTAACTCTGGTAAAACGTTACACATTGCTCTTTGTATTGTTGTTATACATTCATAAAAAACATCGTAAAAATCAGATGCACAACTGTTTTAAATGTAAAGCACAGCTGTTTAGTGAGGAAGCAAAATATAATAGATAGGACAGAACAAGAAAGGCTATTAATAAGCTTTCATTGCGCAAAAGTATTATGACATGATCATGAAAGAGCTGCACAAAGTGCTTATGCACTTCCAAATAGAGCAATTCAAGTAATCTGGTGAAATTGTTTTTATATCACAATATATATCGCAGAAAAATAAAATATCACAATGTCATTTTTTACCAATATCGTGCAGCCCTAATCCTCGCTACGTGTTTTCTATACAGGGATATCGACATCGATAAATATCGGTATCGGCCATAACAGCAATGTTAATATCGGTTATCGGTATCGGCCACAAATTTTCACATCGGTGTATCACTACAATAAACTACATTTAGCCGACATGTGATGTCATATAGCATAAGCCATTTCTCTAACTATTCGTGTATCTTTCACAATCAGCAATGTCAACATAGGTGAATGTATAATATGATAACGAAAAAGGTTAGTGAACTAAACTGAACAGTTTCAGTGTATCAGTAAGATCGTTGGAAGTAACAATACTGTACTGAACGTGTCTGGAAATGTATAAACAATATGATAGTGGGATGAGTGACGTTAGTCAGTAGATCTAGTAAATAAAATAAGTTACATACTAAATGTTATACTAATGTTATCCTGGAACATTATTTTGTATTCATGTCATGTTTCATGTAGTTTACCTTGCTATTTCACTTGAGTTTACTATGTTGATCCGCGTTTTCGTCCGGAGTCACGAGCAGATAAATCTTTTTTTTGTTTTTTATATTTATGTGGAGTTTGTGTTGGAGTCTGTGTTGTACTGGAGGCAGGACGTTTTGGGGGGTTATCAGACTCCATGTCGTCAGCTGAAGTGCTGTTGGTCGCAAGATAGACTGTAGGATGGAGAGGCTCGGGACTCGGGAGCGCGCATGCACGTCACATCTGATGGATTTCGCAGGAAATCCGACCCGGAGACCTCGCATATAAATAAGAATATTGGCCTTCAGAGGTAATGGCAAAACCCGAAAAGTGGATTGTTGCAATGTATGATTACAACCCCTTCAAACACAGGCAATAAAAAAGGATTCATTTTATTAAAAAAAATAGTTACATATAGAACCTTTAAACAAATGGGCATGTAATCGCAGTGAGCCTCGCATCCCACGCCATGCATTCTGTATTAAGATTTTGACTTTTAATGACTTATTGACTTTTGTTCATTTTATTTTACTGATAACAGCCATAGTGCCTTATTATAAAACAGAGTAGTTTATCGATTAATATTAAGAACTTGACATATATGATGATGTATAGCTATAAGCCTACCTATTTAATAAGGTTTGGGGAGACATAATATCAATTATAGGGGGAAATATCACCACGACCACGGGCACGACCGGTGCTGTTTGAATGGGCATATGATTCTTCTGTGCTCCATGGCGTGAGATGTGGCTCACTGCGTTTACATGAGCCCCTTTTGTTTGATTTAAGAATAATTCAAAATTGATGACTTGTGATTAATCAGTAGCTATCTAAGAGCAGCATCCATGTTATATGGGTTGCGTTTTAAACATTTGAATTGTCACCTGTTCTGCATACAAAATGAAAAGCTATCAGCCCAAACGCAAACTATCAGCCCTATCCACCACATGTTATTAATAATGGATATACTTTCACGCGCTTTCATGTCCATTGTCCAAGTATCTGCTATCAGACCCGTTGAAGACAGTTTCTGTTCATGTGCGCTATGTTAATTAACCCTATATAGCAGAGGTATTCAATTAAAATTCTAAGAGGTCCAGTTAGAGAAAATTCCATCAAGCAAAGGTCCACAACATCACAATGACTAACTTTATCTAATGACTAAGCGTTATCATTCAGTGCCACAGCCTAGTAACATTAGTTGTATGAAAATATGTAAGAAGTCTAGTCAACAGACGACTGTCAAATAAAATAAAAGTCCAATTCAATAATATTTCAACAATATTTATTGTCAGTTTATATATTGAACTGTAGGGATCATAAATAATAAGTACTCTAATAATAAATTATCAATAATAAATGTTATATTATAAATGAAATAAAGGCTGCATTTAAAAATAAATTATAAATAAATAAAACACAACAGAGAGCTTTTGAAAAATGTGCATCTCAAAATAAAGTGCTTAAATTTAGAAAAATAAAATAAAAAGTACAGCTTGAGTTTCCCTTTTAGTTTTTAGTTAACTCCCTTTCACATCTTAAGTTTAAATTAATTTTAACTTAATTTGAACATTTTATAATAATCTTAACACATAACAATCGAACAACTTTAACACTTCCTTTTCTCTTTTTTTGCCTTTTATATCCCACTTCCTCACTTTCTCTTGCTTAGTGAGAAAAGTGAGCCCTTGCTTGTCCTGCCAGCATTTTAAATCTGGGCTGGAATGGTGTTAGGGCCATTCTCATACACATGTGTAGGTGCTCGTTGGTGAGCCTGGATCTATATTTGCTTTTAATAATGTTCATTGTGGAGAAAGCTGCCTCACAGTTGTATGTAGAGCCAAACATGGTAAAGATGTACAAGGCTACTTTCCTCAGACCCGGGAAAGGGGTCTCTGAGACCATTTGAAGCCAGAAAGTGGCAGGATCAGATTTTCCTAAATGCTCTTTCAAGGCCACATCTGCTTGGAGATCGACAAGTTGCATCTGGAGAGGCCCAGCATCTGCCCACTTGAAGAGTAGTGTGACTTCCTTTGAGAACTCCCTGACATCTGTGATGAGGAATGGGTTCTGAATGAACAGTGTGTGCTGCTGTCCAAGGCTGAAGCAGTCAAAACGCTTGCTGAAATTTACAATCAGCTTGTCAACAAAGTCAACAAAAGAGACACCTCTCTCTCACCCTGAACCTGTTCCTTCACAGTTGGGAAGTGTGCACAGTCTCCCTGCAGGTCTTCCCTAAACAGCACAAGTTTCCTCTGAAAGGAGCGCACAGCTGTCATCAGATCACAAACTGAATTGTCCTTGCCCTGTAGCTTTAAATTCAGTTCATTTAGGTGTGAAGTGATATCAACCAAAAAAGCCACAATATCCATCTTCTTGTCATCCTCCAAAAAGAGAGAAAATGTTTGTGGTGAGCAGGACGGCCGAGGGACGTGAGAGGAAGTCGCGAGGCCGGTGGTGCGATTGCTAATGAGCAGCACCTGTGAAGAACACCGGTCTCGCATCTCTCACGAAGGAGCGGAGCCATAAAGGGGGAACGACGGAGTGGATGATCGATAGAGGAACAGGCCTGCTTTTGGTTGTATTTTATATTTTATTTGGTAAGCCAGCAGTCGTCCGTGAGGGGCTGCTGGCCGGTATTTTATATTTTATTTTGGGTAGCCAGCAGTCGTCCGCCAGTGTAACAAGGTTCAGGGAAGAAGGAGGCAGGAACCGGATCATAATAATAAAATAAAACTTTATTTAAACAAAATAAACAAATAAATTACCTGCCAGAAACCCCTCGCGGACGACTGCTGGCTACCCAAAATCTGAGAACCACGCACATTTACCCAAAGTAATCATTAACTTAAAACAGTGGATATGGACACACTCAAAGCTAGGTTGATTAAAGCGTTTGCTGATTCTAATCGGAAATAGCTTGCCCCCTCATTCAAGTCCACTTAAAATGGTATCGGATATTTAGCCGTCGCTAATCTGACGCGAAAGATGTGGAAATATTCGAATCCGATGATCCAGGAAAAAACAATCGTTCACTCAGAATAAAATCAAACGTTTACAGTTTATTGAACAGGTAATGATGCAATAATTCAAAATCCAATTCAAAAGGATAAAATCGTCAGTTAAGCGTTTCATGACAATAATTCCGAAATCATAGAATTTGTAGAAATTATTACCTGTCAATAGAGTTACACACAGCGATTGTGCGGGCAGTCAACCTACAGACTCACCCCGAACCTTTCTGTTCCTTTTCCTTATAAACCCAGATAAATCAATTATTACCTAATGGTGATGTCTGTCTTTATAATTAGATTTTGGTTCACAGCTCACACTGTGATGTCTGCCTGATTTTACATACAGGATGTAGTTTGAATTAAGGGACACATCACTTCTCATCTTTCATAACTTCTTTTAGCTTTTTATCATAGTTGGGGGAATGAGACCATTTTACCAGGCGCATCATTTTTGTTATACATTATTTGTTTTGGTTGTTTAAAAACACACATAAACAAATTATCCAATTACTCGATTAATCAGCCGATTAAGTGCTAGATTAATTGATTACAAAAAGAATCGATAGCTGCAGCCCTACACTACACACATGCAACTCTAGCCCGTAAAGGTAATGGGCGTAAAGTATCCAGACAACGTGAGCTACCGTTTAGCCAATCACAACACACCGGCCCAAACTAACCAATCTGAGCCAGTCTTTCAAATGACAGAGGAGAGCACGGCTTACAATAAAGGTGAAATTTATGAAAAAATAAGACTTTTTAAAAAGGAAAAAACACGAATACATGTTAAATGTTATATTGCACCCCATAAACACATTCATGCAAAAGAAAAAAAGCATTAGCCTGAACCACCCCTTTCAAAATCCAACAATGTGATTTCCTGGATTTTTTTCTCATTTTGTCACTCATAGTTGAAGTGTACCAATGATGAAAATTACAGACTAATTAAGTAGGAGAACTTGCACAATCAGTGGCTGACTAAATACTTTTTGGCTGTACTGTACAACTTTTAAAACTGTCAATGCATGACATTTTTTTGACACAAAATACCTTTTATTAGATGATGGTGTTTTCTCACTGAAGTTTGGTGGAGGATCTTTAGACCAATCACTCTTCAGAGACACAGAGCTGGACACATGTGAGCCTGATCTTACTCTGATGACACAAAGAACATTTGAAAAGGTTTAATGTTGCAAATAGTAATTAAATGCAGTATAGCTGTGCATTTGTTCATTTATAACTACAGTTGGATGGATGAACATGTTTAGTTGCATGATTTATTTTGAATTTATGCCTCCTTGTGTCTGCCTGTGTAACTCTGGTATGTGACTGGCTAAGGACAAATAGTAAATTTTTCCCTATGGAAGTCAATCAGGACCAGCAACTGTCTGGTTACCCACATTCTTCAAAATATCTTCTTTTTTGTTCAGCACAAGAAATAAATTAATACAGGTTTGGAACAACATTACAGTGAATAAATAATGACAGAATTTTTATTTTAATCCCTTTAAGAACAAGCGGCTGCAGTTTTATTATTAGGGCTACTGTCACTTTAAGACCTGTACGCGACACGTCTAATATACACGGAGCATTTGACAAGCAGATTTCTCTCAATTTTCTCGGTTTGCTTTGAATTAATTTTAGACATAACCAAATGTTCTTATGTAAACCTTGTGTGTATTTGAGAGTATTAGCGAAATAATACTCGAAAGATAACTTAGTCCAGCAACCAGGCGCTGTTAGACAAGCTTTTAGTGCATGTGTGCGTCGGGTGTTCGCGCTCAGCATCAGCAGTGAATGACATGTTTAACCAGCAAGGCTTTAAAGCACATGCAAATTAACTTTTGTGAACTCGCTGAACTGATGTAACCGTTCCTCTGCGTTAATATTGCGAGTATTTGTCGCGTTGTACACTAATGCTGTTGAGACGGAGGTGTCAGGACTGCAACTGACTGAATGCACGATATACATATTTCTACAAAAGCAGTCAGCAGCTTGCTTGGAGCAAGGATCATAGCGCAAATTTGAAATATATATCGCCCAGCCCCGGTGACCTAACTGTGATGTTCTCGTCAACTGACAACGATACCAGCGCGAGAGCGACTGAGATACGAAATTGAGCAGGTGAACAAGCTGAACCAATTAGACATTCTCTTGCTGAACGCAAATGCGTCCTTGTTGATACTTTAAAAGGAACTTTCTGTACGCACGTCAGCCAGTTATGGGTTATGACCTCATATTCTCTCCTTTTCACTCCGGCTGCAGACACCCGTCCCCCTCTTTTTTTTTTTTTTTTCCTTCTTTTTTTTTACAGATCTGCATGATTCACATAGGTCACATTTTCAGGTCGGAAAATACAGAATTCCGGATTAATCCGGAAAAATCACATCCCTGGTAACTATGTTACTGGAGTGAGTTTCATAAATCCCCTTACACAGTCAAGTTCAATCACATACACCACTGTGGACAAATAATACAACCCTATAATGTGATGTAAACACACAAAATACCTTTCATTAGATGATGGTGTTTTCTCACTGAAGTCTGGTGGAGGATTTTTAGACCAATCACTCTTCAGAGACACAGAGCTGGACACATGTGAGCCTGATCTTACACTGATGACACAAAGAACATTTGAAAAGGTTTAATGATGCAAATAGTAATTAAATGCAGTTTAGCTGTGCATTTGTTAATTTATAACTACGGTTGGAGGGATGGACATGTTTAGTTGCATGATTTATTTTCCATAGTGAATTTATGCCTCCTTGTGTCTGCCTGTGTAACTGTGTTACAGGAGTGAGTTTCATAAATCCCCTTACACAGTCAAGTTCAATCACACACACCACTGTGGACAAATAATACAACCCTATAATGTGATGTAAACACACAAAATACCTTTCATTAGATGATGGTGTTTTCTCACTGAAGCCTGGTGGAGGATCTTTAGACCAATCACTCTTCAGAGACACAGAGCTGGACACATGTGAGCCTGATCTTACACTGATGACACAAAGAACAGAGAGAGAGAGAAAACACTTTAGTAAAGGAGGATCAACTGTGTCTGAAACACATCTGTGTCTTTATCTAATCCTCCACAGAAACACACACACTCACACAATTTACAGTTTTATAGTTAACCATCACTATATTTACTGGCTCACATTAGTTTAACAATTTCTTTAATATACATGAGTGAGATTAAACATGTTAAAAAATACTTCAATTTAAAAGAACATGTCAAGTGTTTGTTTATTGAAAGAAATGGAGAGCAGAAATGTCTGTGCGATAGTTTCGCTTGATAAGACCCTTATTCATCGTCTGGTGTGGTTTAAAGCCCTTTGAACAGTTTGCACTGAAACCAGGCCCGGTTCGATTCTAGAACCAAATCACTGAGGGTGCTTTTGAAAATAATGAGGGTGCTCAAAAGAGGGCCGAGTGATACTTGTCTATGACAATATTGTTGTTATGTTAAATGATATGCGATATCCATGATCGAGTAGCCATGTCCCTGTATGAGTTTTTGTCCTTTACACTTATCATATGATATAAATGTCACACACAGAGTGCTTTTTTCCCCAAATATCAATAGTATTGCAAATGTGTGAAGTAGGCCTATAGAAATTTGAAGTATATGAAGTATTTTATTCTGTAGTTGAATAAAGAAGTTAATATAACCACTTTTGGAAACATTGAGGCACGGATGTACCTACTACAAATAAAACATCTCCAGTTAACTAGCAGAGCATTCAATTAGTTGCTATTAAATTAGAGATCCAGGCATCTAGCGCTTAAATTTTATGTTTTTGAGATCAAGCTGAGCGCTTGATGCCACGCTGCTGTCAGTTGCATGGATACATTGTTCTCTTGTGGCTCGCGCAGTCTTCACTCGGACGTGCGCTTCAATCTATCGCCGTTGCGGGGACTCTCTATTCGTTCCGGTGAATGGACAATTACATTTTTTGGCTATCTAAAGGCAGCCCCGTCTCTAACGAATTTCCTGAGCGGGACGCACACACGCAAACAAAGTGGGCAATCAAAGAGTCAGCGTCACCTTTGCGTATCGCGAAAGGACACAACAATCCAATGCATTAAACATGAAAGCATAATGAAATAATTTCTGATTTGAAAAATCACGTTAATGGATTTAGTTTGTGTAACATATTATATGTATGAGTGTGAAATCTGTCTGTGTTTCTTTTTTCAGCAAAATCTCGTTTACATGTGTGCTGATAAAAATTTAATCTGAGGGTGCTTTCACTTTTGTTTGAGGGTGCTTAGCACCCTCAAGCACCCCCGTAGAACCGCGCCTGACTGAAACGGTCTTTTGGACCTTGAACCGTTTGGTTCCAATTGAAGTCCATTATATGGAGAAAAATCCTGGAATGTTTTCATCAAAAATCTTAATTTCTTTTCGACTGAAGAAAGAAAGACATGGACATCTTGGATGACATGGGAGTGAGAAAATTATCAGCAAACATTTTTTTTAAAAGTGAACTACTCCTTTAAAGGGGGGGGGGGGGGGGTTGATTGCGATTTCACTTTTTTCATTTTAAATAGTGTGTAATGTTGCTGTTGGTGCATGAACAGTATCTGCAAAGTTGCAGAGCTGAAAGTTCAGTGTAAGCAGAGATATCGTCTTTTAAAAATCAGGAAGTATAATGCCTACAAAAACGACACGATTGGGACTACAGCTGGGTTATGGTACGTCACTAACCCACACATTTGCATCAACCACTCGCTCAGAAAATGCAGAAAATGGCTTGAGGCACGTCGACTCGTTGAGTGTGATGTTCACGCAGCTGTCAGGTCTTCTGTGTTCGGGCTTCACACGGACGCTGTACTTCGTCAACAATGGATACAATTGGCTATATGCACGCATAAGTTCCGCATTTGACGCAAGGATGCTCGTCCATTTCCGGTTGTGGAGATTTAAGCGGAGGCGAACCGAGGAAAACGGGATTATGGCAGAGTCTTCAAAATTTACTGTCCTCCCGTCTTTGAAATGAAACGTACATACGTTTAGATGTAATTTTATATATAGTTATGTTTATTTAATATAATTTTAAAAAGAAGCATAAACACAACGAGGGGTGTCTGTTTTATCTGTTTTTGTGACTAACGTTTCTTTATTATAACCATGGGGTATAAAATTCAATATAAATTCTCGGTATTGCATTGGACTCTACGATCGGCGGAAGAAATTGAGCATCCTTACACCTTTACTGGAAATACCGCCGTGCATAGAGCCCATTTATGTTTGATTATGTCCCTGAAAATGACGATCATAATCTAGCTCTCTGTGCAGCGCATTTTACAGAAGACAGCTTCCACGAATTCAACAAGAAACTGTTAATGAAGCAGTTTCAACTTTAAAACCAGAGGCAGCAGTTGTTTGGCCACAACCTGTAAGTAGGCTAAGACTGCATCATTTTAAATGTATTTGCATGTATAATTCCAGACGTAGCCTTGTGTTTTATTTTTTTCAAATGCCAGCGCTGGCTTTATAGCCACTAGGCTACGAGTTATGCCATTTTGTGTCTACGACAAACGCTTACAAACATTATGGACCTGAATTTTGTATAAGTACTAATGTTATAAATGTGTTTTTCATGTATATATGTTTTATGACGTTTTTTTCCATTTGATTAAGAACGTAAACCAATGCCAACGCTGTTTGTGTTTAACATTAGTAGCCAGTCAGTTGCTATTGTTGCCAGTCAGATGCTATTGTGTTAAACAAATGTGTATAAAGTTAAAAAAATGTAGCAAATTATCATTCAGAAACGTTTATTAAGAGCCGTGTGTGGTGAGGTTATGTTTGACTCTCTTCATCGCCGCTTCCTCGGTCTGATTCTGCCTCAAACTGATACTGCAGTTTGACACATATTTACATCTGGACCGGAGCTCATGACATAAATGTTTCGCCCGTAAAGGTAATGGGGGTTAACCTTCCGGACAACGCGAGCGACAGTTTAGCCAATCACAACACACCGGGCCAAACCAATCTGAGCCCACTGCCTGTTTCTGAGGGAGCGGTTTCATAGACTCAGGAAGTCAACCGCTCCTTCGAGGACAGAGGAGAGCGCGGCTGACAATAAAGCTGAAGTTTATGAAAATTAAGACTTTTAAAAAAAGAAAAACCACGAATACATGTTATATTCCACCCCATAAACACAATCATGCAAAGAAAAAAAGCAGTCAACCCCCCTTTTGGAAAGTTAAAATTGAAGTTGTTCAAAGCATTTGCAAATATAGAGCAATGCTTAAAGTTGTGTTATTGACAGGGAAACACAAAGTCCAGTGGAGTTTAAAGTGAGAGTGTGAAAACAGAGGCAGTCTCACCTGTGTTTCTCTGAGTCCTTTCCTCTTTCCTCTGACATACTGCAGCTAAACTGACCCTGAAAACTGATCAGAAAACACTCAATCCTTCAGCATCACCTGCAAATAACAACATTTACACACATCAACAACATCTTATTGAAGAATAAAGACTTATCATCAACAACAGCAGCAAAAACAATCTATCAAATAAAGTGAGTTACAAACAGATATATTGCCATGTAAAATAACCAAATGGTCTTAATCATTTCTGATTGTTTCATGAGTTTAACGGACTCTAAATATGAATTCATTGGGGAACAGAAATGTACACTGTGCTGGAAAACTGAACCCAATTTGTTTATATTGTCTATTACAGTTTAACATCAATTTTATAATCATATTTACATCTTATCATATCAATCTTTAATAATTGTTGAATCGTTTGCCATTCAATCATTACTTAAAGTTCACAATAACTGATTGAGTAAAAGCAGAGAATAGACATAATATTACTAATCATAATTGCTATATATGAACTGAAATATTGAGTTTAATAACAGCAGATTGTTGTTGATTGACGTTAGGCTTCATCTGTCTGTCTACTGTAAAAATGTCTACTTCAAAAATACTTTCGATTTCTCATCACAAAAACAACAGCCTAACACGGGAGAGGAAATGGGAGAACACTTTTTAGAAACATATTCGTGTTGAATAAACCTTTCTCAATAAAACATTTTGTATTAAATGTTTTATTTATGTTTAAATGTATTAAACATGTATTAAAACTTACTTGCAGTCTTGTCCACTAGTGATGTTACATATGACACTGAATCTTCAAAGCGCGAGTCGAGTAGGCCTAACTTACGCAGCGAAATTTCTCATGAGCTTTAAAAAGTAGGCGGCTAAAAAAAGCCCTTACTGTCTATGGTGAAGCCGGACAGATCTCGATCTCGGTTCTCGCAGTGGATCAGACACCTGTGAGACCAAACTAGGCTTGTTTGAGATGGGCAAAATCTGCGCAGAATCGATCACTGGTGATCAGCGCGAGATGCATTCTTCTTCTTCTTCTTCTTCTTCTGTTGTTTAAATGGCGGTTGGCAAACCAACTTCAAGGTGCACTGTCCGCCACCTACTGGATTGGAGTATGGAGCACTACTTGATAGGATACACTTGATATATACATATATATATATATATATATATATATATATATACACATACACATATAACAAGAAAAATATATATATATCTTTCTTACCAGTTCTGTGTCATAAAATATTTGAATACTTTTTCGTGTATTGTATAATTTGTTCCTTCTAATAATTCCTTAAGTGTATGATTTCTTACACCCCTATCCTTTAACGACTGAATTAATTCACGCCTTTCTCTGCTGTATGCTAGACATTCTAGTAATATATGTTTTACTGTTTCTATATGTCCACATTTATCGCAATTAGCACTTTCATGTTTTCCTATTCTATGTAAGCTTTGATTCAGCGCTGTATGTCCAATACGCAGTCTTGTCATAATTACATCCTTTTTTTCTGTTATTAACGTTTGCTCTTTCCACCCCCACCTTACTTTGTATATTGCCTGATCGGAATCATCAGCCCTGCTGGTTTTCTTTGGCTCGTCTTCGTCAACTGGCACACAGGACAAGATATAACGTGTCTTTTCACATCTGTCCCCATTTTGGGCCAAAAGAACCTTTGTTTCAGCCTGACCAGCGTTTTTGTCACCCCCAGGTGTCCAGCTGTAGGATGGTCATGAAAATATCTGAGTACAGTGGATCGAATTACTGTTGGGACATATAACTTAAGCTGCTTCATTGGGTGGAGACTGCAGGTTATCTTAGGGTCCTTGAAATAGAGCAGACCATCATGGATGACATGTTCTTCGTCCGTACCGCCCATTTCAAGGTTTCGAAGAAGATTGCCAACCACTGGGTCGCCTTTTTGTAACTGCGTCAACTGTTATCTGTCTGTTATCGGGACTGAGGAGAGACTGCGCAGATCCAACCCAGCGATGACAGCATGCGGAGGAAGAATGTCAATAGGGCCCTCACAATGCAGCAGTGGGTTGCGTGATAGAGCGTCTGGAACTTTATTCTGAACTCCTGGCCTGTGGACAGTATTAAAATCAAAATCTTGTAGGCGCAAGGACCATCTCGCCAGTCGTCCAGAGGGGTTGGGATGGTTCATTAGCCACCTCAGGCTGTTGTGGTCTGTATAAATGGTTACTTGAAGGCCCTCGATGTAAGGTCTGAAATGTTCCAGAGCCCAAATCACTCCCAAACACTCCTTCTCAGGTGTTGAGTAGGGTCTTTCCGCTTTGTGCAATGTCCTGCTCCCGAAAGCTACCACCGCATCTCGCCCCATGTCATCCTTCTGCATCAAGGCCGCACCAAGGCCCAAGTCACAAGCGTCAGTGTGGATGGAGAATGGGCGTGTGAAATCCGGAAGGCACAGAATGGGTTTAGACGTTAGGCAGTTTTTCAAGTAATCCCTCGAAGCTTGACAACTGTTGTCCCAGGTGAATGGAGTTTCCTTTCTTGTGAGTTTAAAAAGTGACTCAGCTTTTTGAGCATAATTTGGAATGAACCGTCTGTAATAGCTTGTGAGGCCGAGAAATCCTCTCACTCACTTCACGTCTGTCGGCGTTCTGAACTCTGTGACCGCCTCCACTTTCCTCGGATCAGGAGAAATACCATCCTGAGTGACCTTGTATCCTAGGAAGATGAGCTCACTCCAGCAGAACTGACACTCATTTAGCTTGAGAGTAAGACCAGCTGACTCAAGTCTAGAAAGGACTTCCCGGAGGTCTTGCAAGTGTTGTTCAAAGGTTGGGGACACGACGACAATATCATCTAAATACACTGCACAGCGCTTGTATACCAATCCAGCAAGGACATTGTTCATTACTCTCTGAAAAGTGGCTGGTGCGTTACTAAGCCCAAAAGGAAGGACTTTGAATTGAAAAAGGCCACAGTGTGATGCAAATGCTGTCTTTGGCCTTGACTGTTTCTCTACCGACACCTGCCAGTACCCTCGAGCCAAATCAAGTGTAGTAAGAAATTTTCCACGAGCCAGGAAATCCAATGATTCGTCGACTCTGGGCAGGGGGGTCCGAATCCTTCCGTGTTAGTTGATTAAGGCCTCTGTAGTCTACGCAAAACCTGTGGTCTCCACATGGCTTCTTGACAATTACCACAGGCGCAGCCCATGGACTGGAAGATGGACCAGCATCATCTGAATCTGATCTTCAATGATTTGATATTTAGCTGGTGAGCTCCGGTACGGTGGGAGGTGAACTGGTTTTGCGCCACCCGTGTTGATTTCGTGCTCCCCCAATGAAGTGTGCCCCAAGTATAACTATAACTATCTGTTGCACGTCCTCCCATCCACATCGTTACTTAACAAGCAAAGTAAAAATAATATAAAAGTCGGCATCAAACAGAAATTACACACATGGGGTGTTCGAGGCACACGGCATATATCACATAGAATACCAATAATGCCGACTCTCTAACAGGAGCGCGCAGCTCTTCAAGAAGCCACACCCTATTTCCACCCGTCACAGATTCTTAAAGGGGTCACACCATATTTCTACTCGTTACAATCTCTTCAAATAATTTATCTCCATCCTCTTTATATTTTTCACATTACATGATAACATGCTCTACTGTTTCTTCCTCTCCACACCATTCACAAAGTCCTGTTGGATGCTTGGATATTAATTTCAGTGTTTTATTAAGTCCTATTCTAAGTCTTGATATTATGTTTTCCTCCCTTCTACTTCCACCCGAGAACCTCTTTTTCCCCACTTTTGGTTGAATTTCATACATACTTCTTCCCTTAATTCCTGTTTCCCACATTCGTTGCCATCTTTGTTTTATTTGATATTTAATTATTGCTTTAATTTCATCTCTACTATATGCTATATCCATTTCTATTATGTCCTCTTGCAATGCTTGTTTAGCCATTTTATCTGCTGCCTCATTCCCTTTTACCCCAACATGAGCGGGTGCCCACATGAACTTTACTCTCACTCTTTTCCGCTGTAACATATATAATTCTTGTGCTATCTCTATCCTGTCTTGTATTTGACTGTTGTGCTTCAATGCACATAAGAGCAGAACTAGAGTCTGAACATACAACCACATCCTTCAATCCTGCCTCATTTATCCATCTCAATGCCATCATTATTGCAACTAATTCCCCTGTGAAAACTGATAGACTATTTGATATTCTTATTTTCCTGGATATCTGTAGTTTTGGAACAACAAAACATGCTCATTGTCTGGATTTTTTGATGCATCCGTAAATACCTGTACTTTATGTCCATAAGTTAACCATAAGGAGTCCCTTACCTGAATTGCCTCTCTTTCACTCTGACCTTCTTTCTGCCTGATTTCTAATATTTTTAAATCAACTTCTGGCTGTGGCATTATCAACAAAGGGACAGCTGGTATCACCACTCTTGGAGTAATTTTTAGCTCTTTAATACCCAACTCTTTTACTAAATCACCAATCACCCATCCAAAACTATCACACTTCTTTTTCCCATACTCCCAGCACTGCTCTAGTACCCTTAAAGTAGGATGAGATTCATCCTGTCCCATAAGATTTGCCCAGTATACTGCATTTAACTGTTGTCTTCTTAACTTGAGAGGCATATCTCCTACAGTACCTCTACCTGCGGCGCTGAAACAGGAGAAGATGGGTACGCTCCACAACAAATCCTTAATGCTTTTGCTTGAATTCCCTCTAATTTGTCCAAGTGAGTTTTTGCTGCTGATCCATATACTACGCTTCCATAATCAATTACTGATCTAATTAACGTTACATAAATGGTTTTCAGTGCCAGCCTATCTGCCAGACACACATCTCATTATATTCAACACTCTTTTACACTTTTGCTCTATCTTCTCAATATGCTCTTTCCATGTGAGTCTACTGTCGAACCAGATTCCAAGAAATCTTATTTTGGATACCAGTTCTAGACTGATGTTGTACAATTTTAATTTTATTTCATCGTCAATCCTTTTATTCGTGAAAAACATAACCTGAGTTTTTTCCACTGAAGATTTAAATCCCCACTTTAGTGACCATTCCTCCACTTCTTTCAATGCATTTTGCATTTTTCTCACAACATACTTTATATTCCCCCCTCTGAACCATAGAGCTCCATCATCTGCAAACAAAGATCTGCAAATATTTTTATCCACCCTCTTAAATACATCATTTATCATGATTATTAAAAGCAATGGACTAATGACACTCCCCTGAGGAGTACCATTCTCTACCTTTTGGTGATATGCACTCTCCCACTCTTACTTTAATTGATTGATCTTCCAGAAATTCTTTGATCCAATTATACATTCTCCCTCTTTTCCAGTTTCAGTAACAACCCTTCTCTCCACACCATGTCATAAGCCTTTTCAATGTCAAAAAACACAGCCATCACAATCTCTTTATTACTCAATGCCTTTCTAATATCTGTTTCTAAGCAAACTACTGGGTCCATTGCCCTCCCCCCCCCCCCCCCAATCCACTCTGAATTATAGATAACAACTTCTCTTTTTACAAATAATACATTAACCTGTCTGTAATCAATTTTTCCACTATTTTACATACATGGAAAGTTAGTGCTGTTGGTCTATAATTTGTTAGAATACTATGATCGTTACCTGGCTTCCTTATGGGAATAACTATTGCCTCTTTCCAGCTCTTAGGTAACACTCCTTCCACCCATATCCTGTTTAGCAACTCCAATATTACTCCCAATGCTTTTTCACTAAAATTTTTGATCATACTAAAGCTTACTCCATCTTGCCCAGCTGCAGATTCTTTCACTCTTTTTAATGCTCTCTTTAATTCTGCCATTTCAAATGGAGCATCTAATACACTGTCCAAAACTTCCCTTCTGTCTTTCACTGTCGGATTTCTTTTTAACATCTCTTCTCTAACTTTCTTTCTCTCTTCACACAGGTTTCTAGAGGAGTTAACTTTAATAAACTCATCTCGAAACATTTTTGCCTTCTCTTACAGTTTTTTCTGAATGCTTAAGCGCTAATCGTGATTCTTGTAGCACAATTTCTAAAACTATTAATACGTATAGCAAAACCACTCACTGAGTTTGCAAAACTGTAGGCACAATTCACTGCACAACACTATTTTTGCAGAACTTTAAACACAACTCACTGCTTACACTCAATTACCAAATTTCCAACACACTTCTAGCAAAATTATACACATGTATGGCTATCATTAACGCTATTTTGCCAACTGTCTGGCTCACTTTCACATTTGAAAACTGTTTTAGAAAATTAGTTCACTTTGCAATCAGCCTAAGCACTATAAATAAGCCACAGGTAAGCTGTCTGTGTGGAGTACAATGGAAGGAGCAGTAAGAGTGAGAAGAGTGAGAATCAGAGGAGGCCGAGGGAGAGGACATGGAGGTGAAGAAGTTGGAGGAAGGAGCTAGAAGAGGACAGGAGGCAGAGGGAGAGGATGTGGAGTTGAAGAGCATACCCGATATGTCATCATATGGGACAATGTTAGTCCGCAACTGGTTTACAGACCACACATTTTTCATGGCACTCAACCTCCCTCCATACTCTCCATTCTTACGTAAATCCCATTGAGGAGTTCTGGAAAGTGTACGACCGTCATCCTCATCAACAGGTAGCCCTTTTACAGGCAATGGAGGAGGCATGTGGAGATATTGACCAGGCATCATGTCAGGCCTGGATACGGCATTCAAGGACATATTTTCCCTGGTGCCTTGGACTGGAGGATATTGCATGTGATGTCGACGTAATTTTGCAGCCGAACCCAGAAAGACGACATGATGTAGGCTGATTTTTTTTTTTTTTTTTTTTTTTTTTTTTTTGTGTAAAATTACTATTTTGTGTTCTGACTTTGTCTTGGTTTTTATGAGTGTGAATAAACACCAATACTTGAAGTTTGTATCCTTGTATGTTTACATGACACTATGACAAAAGTATGACCTCAAATTGACATCTGTACACAGAGACAGCAAAAGCCAGATGTGTTTTGCATTCATACCATCAGTGTGTAGTTGGCACATTGTGTGCTTAGTATTTGATGGCTTGTGTTTACTGTTTGATACGAAAACACAATTTTTCCGAAGGTGTGAAGAGTTAATCTAGCTGTGTTTGCTTTTGCAAGAGAACTACAATGTTTTGATAATTGGGTGAAAGGTTTTCTTATTTGTGTGTAGAGTTTTGCAAAACTAGCCAATAGTTACAAAAAATGTGCTTAAGCAATCAGAAAAAACTGTAATCTGTTACTGCCACCTCCTCTACCATTTTGAGTACTGGTAATTCAAATTCCTTACTTATTCCTCTCATTTTCTTAATCATATTCCATATCTCTTCTACTGGAGTACTTCGCCCTATTTCATTACAAAATGATCTCCAATACTCCCTTTTTGTCTTTCTTACATCACAGTGATTGATGGTCAGACAGTCGAATTGGTACAGTCTTATAAATATTTAGGACTGTACACTTTTCTTGACAATAAATTGACATTTAAGAAAAAGACTCAATTTACAAGAAAAGCCAGCAGCGTCTTCTTTGTCTTAGAAAATTATCTAAATTCTAGGTTGACTCTACTTTGATGACTTTGTTTTATTGTTCTTTTATTGAGTCAAGGTTTTATTCTCCTTGGTTTGGTTTCAATCCTTGAGGGTAAAGGAGAGGAACTTACTGAACAAGGTTGTTAGTATTAGCAGTAAAATTATTGGGTGTCCACAAGAAACCTTAATGGATCTTTACAAAAAACAACTGTTTAAAAGCAAACTCCATCTTGACTGACTGTTCTCATCCTTTACATCAACAGTTTCAGTTTTTACCATCAGGTTCATTGCTCAGAAACAACCAGATATAAACACTCCTTTGTTTGGTCTGCTGTCTCTCTTCTAAATGCAAGGCGGGAAAGGTTGCTTACACATCTTGGAATTGATTAGAATGTGCATTATGTTATATTTTATTATACTATGTGTTTTTTATTTATTATACTAGGTGTATTTATGTCTGTAAGTTTGTGCTCCTACACTCAAAAAAATGAACTAGGGAGGTTGTGCACTTTACATATTTATATACAGTATAGTTTACTTATAATAATTATATTTTTGATTTTAAATGTTTTTTCTATTAAGGTCTATGTAATTGTGTCTCAACTTACAGTTTTTTCTGAATGCTTAGGCGCTAATCGTGATTCTTGTAGCACAATTTCTAAAACTATTAATACGTATGGCAAAACCACTCACTGAGTTTGCAAAACTAAAAGCACAAAAACTGCTTTGCACTCAATTTGCAATTTTGTAACACACACTTTGCAAAACTGTAGGCACAATTCACTGCACAACACTCTTTTTGCAGAACTTTAAACACAACTAGCAAAATTATACACATGTATGGCTATCATTAACACTATTTTGCCAACTGTCTGGCTCACTTTCACATGTGAAAACTGTTTTAGAAAATTAGTTAACTTTGCAATCAGCCTAAGCACTATAAATAAGTCACAGGTACGCTGTCTGTGTGGAGTACAATGGAAGGAGCAGTAAGAGTGAGAAGAGTGAGAATCAGAGGAGGCCGGGGGAGAGGACATGGAGGTGAAGAAGTTGGAGGAAAAGGACGTGGAGGTGAAGAAGTTGGAGGAAGGAGCTAGAAGAGGACAAGGAGGCAGAGGGAGAGGATGTGGAGTTGAAGAGCATACCCGATATGTCATCATATGGGACAATGTTAGTTTCCATAGGGCTGCTTTGGTCCGCAACTGGTTTACAGACCACACATTCTTCATGGCACTCAACCTCCCTCCATACTCTCCATTCTTACGTAAATCCCATTGAGGAGTTCTGGAAAGTGTACGACCGTCATCCTCATCAACAGGTAGCACTTTTACAGGCAATGGAGGAGGCATGTGGAGATATTGACCAGGCATCATGTCAGGCCTGGATAAGGCATTCAAGGAGATATTTTCCCGGTGCCTTGGACTGGAGGATATTGCATGCGATGTGTGGACGGAATTTTGCGGCCGAACCCAGAAAGACGACATGATGTAGGCTGATTGTTTTTTTTTTTTTTTTTTTTTTTTTGGGGTTTTTTTTTGCAAAATTACTCTTTTGTGTTCTGACTTTGTCTTGGTTTTTATGAGTGTGAATAAACACCAATACTTGAAGTTTGTATCCTTGTATGTTTACATGACACTATGACAAAAGTATGACCTCAAATTGACATCTGTAAACAGAGACAGCAAAAGCCAGATGTGTTTTGCATTCATACCATCAGTGTGTAGTTGGCACATTGTGTGCTTAGTAGATGATGGCTTGTGTTTACTGTTTGATACAAAAACACAATTTTTACGAAGGTGTGAAGAGTTAATCTAGCTGTGTTTGATTTTGCAAGAGAACTACAATGTTTTGATAATTGGGTGAAAGGTTTTCTTATTTGTGTGTAGAGTTTTGCAAAACTAGCCAATAGTTACAAAAAATGTGCTTAAGCAATCAGAAAAAACTGTAACAGTACAAAATCCTAATGTGTTGTCTAAACACAAACCATTTATGTTACAGTATTTCTGAGTTGTTAAAACACTAAAATCCATTTGCAAAACCAAAGTTGCAAGTGTACAAACCACTTTATTGATTGAATCACACAGTTTGCAGAACTTTAAACACTTCTCATGTGGTTAGACACAACTAGCAAATCAGAATCACTGTTTCAGAAAAACTGTAAACACATTGTCATTCTCAAAGCACATGTAGCATTGTGGTGCACTTCAACTCAGAATGGCACAACACAGCCCCAAAAGTAAAACACAAGTAACACACTGTTGTCATCGGTAACACACAATCACTCAAAATTGAACACACCTGTTTCAAATCATTAATGTGTTGCACCTAATCAGTAATGTGAATATAAAGCCATGTCAAATCCAAATGGCATGTGTGATTTTCACAATGGAGGGCATGAGAGAAAGTGAAAGTGGAAGTGGAAGTGGAAGTGGACGTGGACGACGAGGAGGAGGAGGAGGAGGAGGAATAGACAGAAGAGACAACGGAGGAGGAGGAGGAAGAGAAAGAGGAGGAAGAGAGAGAGGAGGAAGAGGGAGAGGAGGAGGAAGAGACAGATGAGGAGAAGGAGGAATAGACAGAAGAGACAACGGAGGAGGAGGAGGAGGAGGAAGAGAGAGAGGAGGAAGAGGGAGAGGAGGAGGAAGAGATGGAGGAGGAGGAGGAGGAAGAGACGGTGGTGGAGGAGGAGGAGGAAGAAGAGATGGTGGTGTAGGAGGAAGAGACGGAGGAGGAGGAGGAAGAGATGGAGGAGGAGGAGGAGGAAGAAGAGACGGTGGTGGAGGTGGAGGAGGAGGAAGAGACGGAGGAGGAGGAGGAAGAGATGGAGGAGGAAGAGATAGAGGAGGAGGAAGAGGAGGAGGAAGAACAAGAGCCATCATTTCCAATGAAATTAGAGCAACAATCATACACCATGTTCTGGTTCATGGAATGAGTATGAGGGAGGCAGGACTACGTGTTCAACCAAATATAAGCAGGTTCTCCGTGGCCTCCATTGTCAGGACATTCAGAGAAGAGAACCGGTAAGTGTACTATCATTTATGGTCCCTCAAACTTACAGTACAGTATGTGCAGTTGTGGAACGTCTCCGTAAATTACTGTAACCACAAATTGACCTTTTTCTACCAGTATTACAGTACAACTAATAGTATTACTGTAAAATACTGTATATATTTAATGTATTGTACATATTTGGTGACATTGCATTAGGTCTGTTTGTACAATTCTAACAAGCGGTTTTATTTGCTAGAATTGAAAGACTGCCACATGCCGGTGGAAGGAGAGGTATGTTCTCACAACAGCAGGAGACCATCATTGTCAATATGGTCCTTCAAAATAATCTCATTCGTCTGCGTGAAATAAAACAGCGAGTTGAGGAAGACAACGAGAACTTTGAAGGAATCAACAGTGTGAGTCTCTCCACAATTGACCGTGTCCTGAAACGCAACCTGATAAGTCTCAAACAAGTCTACCGCGTACCATTCGAGAGAAATTCTGAGAGGGTAAAAGAGCTACGATATCAATATGTACAAGTAAGTAATCATGTTCAGAGATTATACAGCACTATTGAGTTTCTGTACATCTTCACTGTTGAATGAAATGCAGCACATGAATACAGAGCCATAAGGCCTGGAATGCTATATCATTTACGTTATATCAAAAATTTACTTCTTTTCATTTCTATAGAGAATGTTTCAACTGGATTCCATGGAGAGGCCTCATGAGTGCATCTTCTTGGATGAAGCTGGCTTCAATCTTGCCAAGAGGAGAAGAAGAGGCCGCAACATTATTGGTCAACGAGCCATTGTAGAGTTGCCTGGGCAGCGTGGTGGCAACGTTACCATATGTGCTGCCATCAGCAGCTACGGGGTCATTCACCGCCATGTGACTTTGGGACCTTACAACACTGCCCATCTTATTACGTTTCTGTATGCTCTACAGGAAGCATTACTGAGACGTGAACAGAGAGGTGATGAGCAGGCAGAGCATCCCATGTACGTGGTAATCTGGGACAATGTGAACTTTCACCGTGGTCCTAGAATACGTGAGTGGTTTGAAAATAACCCACGTTTTATAAATGTGTGCCTCCCACCATACTCGCCCTTCCTTAATCCCATTGAAGAATTTTTTTCTGCATGGAGGTGGAAGGTCTATGACAGAAATCCATATGCACAGGAAAATCTCCTTCAGTCAATGGATGCAGCATGTGACAACATTGGAGTGGAATCGATTCAAGGTTGGATTCGTCATGCTAAAGGATTCTTTCCCCGTTGTTTAGCAAGGGACCGGATTGCCTGTGACGTTGATGAGGTCCTGTGGCCTGACCATGCCCAGAGGCATGATGCTGAGGCAGAATGATTCCAAACCATTGCTACCAATATGCGGCATATATTGTTTGTGACTATATTTGTGTGCAGGATTGTGCAAGTACTTTATAATAAATCATTTTTTTCCCCTACTCTGCCTTGAGTGCAGTGTTTTGCATTTATCTCTGTAGTGTGTAATTACTGCTGTGTAGTGTTTATGCATTAGCTGGATGTGTGTGATATCTGAAAACAGTGTTTGGTTTTGGGTAAAGATAACATAATTCTGAAGCAATTGTTTGATATAGCAAGACAAGTCAAAGGTTTTGACAGTGTAGCTTAAGTTTGGTGATTTGTGTTTAAGGTTTTGAGAAAGCGAGAGAAATTTTCAAAAAATGTGTTTTAGCAACTCAGAAATACTGTAAGTAAAAAAAAGTGTACATCCAGAGGGTGGCAGTATAGTGCGAGCCGACTGCCATTTTGCCCGAACTTAATTTTATTGTGTTCAATTTGCTTAAATCTACGAAGAACTTAAGTTTACTTAATCCGTTTGTGTTACATGATTGATTTGTGTTGCCTTCACTGAAACTGGGCAGTGCTTTTAGTTCCCAGCATGCTTTGAATATGATTGAATTAAGAGAGAATAAATGTTAAAATTAAGTGTTATTTTATATGTTTTTTTTTTTTTAGAAAATTAGAAAAGGTGAAGACTTGATAGTGTGTAATAGTGTTTAATGTTAAATTACATTGGAATTATTAAACCATTTAAACTACAGTGGGTTACCATTGTGGAGAAGAGTGGAGCATTTTGTTTGGCTGATTTCATTATTTTCTATTGCTTTGAAAAAAGGAGCATGTAAATCTTAGCATTCAAGATGCTAATATGTGTTTCTGCTAACAAATAGCTAGCTAAAGTCAATTAACTTAGTTAAATGTCACTGAATCAAATGAAATATAAATGGATGAATGAATATAATAAAATGCCATTGAATCATGTCAGGAAGCCTTTAACAATTCATGTTGAGACTACTTAAATTGGGTAATTTAAAATTACATAATTCCATTAAGTTAACATGTTTGTTTAATGTAATCCAGTTATGTGGAACCTGTTGACAAATTAAAATTAATTAAAGCCAACATATTATTTTTTTGAGTGTATGCTGTGAAATCAATTGCCCCACTGAGGGGACAAATAAAGGTATTGAACAATACCATTCTCCTACTACTGCTTGAGTCACTTTATACTTAACTAAATTTTGGAAATTATGTGTTCTCTTCAATTTCCTAAATGCTTTCCTTTCATTTCTTATAGCTTCATTACATTCTTCATTCCACCAAGGAACTCACCAGAGTCTTCCTCACCTCAGCTGACACTGAAATTATTAACATTTGCAAGAATGAGTGAACTTCCCCACGCCCCATACCATGCGATCCAGATGTAAATGAACTGAACATTATTATTTCTGACTCTCATTTGAACCTTCCAAGTGACCCACATCAAGCTGAACTTACACATGCATTTAAGAGATCAGGACATTACTGTAAAAACTACAAGATCCTTTTTATCTGAAACGTGTTTATAGTCTGACTGACTTACATTGTGTTACGCTTACATTGTAGACAATACTGTCCCCAATTCTTTTTATAAAGAATTACAATGCATGAATTTCATAAAAAAATTAAAATTTATAAATGTATATAAAAGTTACTGAGGAAAGCTGTTTATTATTTCAGACACAGTTGAACCAGTCACATGTAAACTTTGTATTTAAACTGAGGAATATACAAAGAGGTTAAAGATTCAGAGAACTTTCCTCACCAACAACCACAGTTTTATTGCATAGAATGGAAAACATTACAGCCGTTTGTTAACATTTCCAGTATATTTTCAATTAAAACATTACACTAACAAATAACAGTTTATCAGTATTAATGTCTTGATGTACTTTCAAAGAAAAACCTGACCACTCGTCTGCGGATGAATTTTATGTAATTAACAGAAGAAAGTTGTTGAGAGTAATTGTTCTGTATCTGACAATCTAAATAATGAAATCTAATACTTCGATTAAAAGTTACAGATACCTGCTGAAGCTGTTGTATCTTGTTTTACTAATGGCTGGGGGTTGTTTTAATTCCTTTTTTTTTTTTTTTTTGGAAGAACTTTGATAGCATCCATTTTACTCGTTCATTAACTTCTTGCACATCATCAAACACCTG